GTGTGTGTGTGTGTGTGTGTGTGTGTGTTTCATCTATGTACAGTATACATCATCTGTATATATGTTTTCATCCAAGTTCATAGAAAGAAGCTTCAGCTTTACAGCAAGAATTTCCTGGGTTTGAGTCGACCTAGTTGGACCTTTCTGTGTGCAGCTTGCATTTTATGTGTGCCTGTGTGGGTTCTCTCAGAGTACTCTGCTTCCTCCTACAGTCCAAAGACATGCATGTTAGGTTAACTATGTCTGTGAATGTCCAAAGTCATCTGACTGTGTTAGCCAAAATGTTCAGGGTGTATCCCACTTTTTTCCCTGTGACAGCTGGGAGAGGGTCCAGGAAGATTTTCTCTGTAATTGAACATATTTTGCATCTGTAGCCCTTACAGTTGTCTGGATTGGTGTTAAAGCTGCTTCTTTCATTTTTTTTTATACTTTTGCACTTTTCCACTTGAATTCTGCTTGTCCTTCAGTCTTGTCCACACTTCCACTTAAAATCTAAAGGTGAGAGGTCTTTCTCTGAGTCTCCCCTCTTTTGTAAAGTCCCCCTCCTGTTTGGAAATTGTTTAATCAATCTTGAAGACCTAGCTATTTTCACAGGCTTTTGGGTCCCTTTGAAACCGGCTATGGGTCTGTTCTGTCTTAGTTTATCTTGGTTCTTTATGTTATTTGTGCACGTATGTGTATATGTACACATGCACACGTGAGTATCTGTGTGTATATACTGTACGTGTTCCCTTTCAGCACATGATGCGATAAATAGTAACTCAGGAATGGTGAATGGTGATATGACTGCTACAGGAGACTTTACATTTCATTTCATGTGTCATTTTTGGCTTGATAGCTATTGTGGCGGTTATTAAAGAAGTCATTACCATGATTTTAAATGTTTTCTGCAATTTAAATTAACTACACTTTCAGTACATCATCTGTGTAAAAAACAGTGTACAGAAAATTTAATGATAATAATCATAAAGAAAGAAATGCAAGAAATACGCCTGGCATGACTGTATGAAATTTATTTCCTCTTTTGTCATCATATTCTGTTCAAACCTGCCAAACTGTCAATAAATGTGTCACTGTTAATTTCTGTGCCTTTTTAGCACCACATAAAGAATATATATAAATATCACATGTGGTGATGTGCTATACAAATAAACCTTACTTGATTTGACGAATAAAAAAAATGTGATCATCATTAACAAAATGCATGTGTAATAGTGTGCTCCAGAAATTTTTCATTTAACGTTACTACTACTGCTAAAATGTGATCTTTGCATAAATTTTTAATTTTTAATCACATTGGGGAGTGAGAGGGGGACTCAAGGTTTAGACTGCATTCATCAGCACTACTCAAGGGAGGATCATTCCACACTAGGGGAATATTGCTCACCACAAAGCCAAATTATGTGATTTGGTGAATTTGAAATTTAATTTACTGATTAATTAGTAAATTAAATGTGAAATTTGCCTTCAGTTTTTACATTTTGTTGCAGTTATCTATGTTGTTAACTTGCATGAATGGAGAGCAGCCAAGTTAAACACACCTCCAACATCCAATGAAGACAGAATCATCAGAGCTACTGAGTCTGACAGTGGAGGATACAGCTGCCGGGGCAGAAGGGACTATTTCTTCTCAGAGTGGAGTGATATCATCACACTGACTGTGTCATGTGAGTTAGCAAGAGCACTACCTGTTGCAGCAACAAAAGATAAGGATGGCGCCAGTGTCTGGCAGCCTCGCCTCTGTCAGTGCACCCCAGGGCAGCTGTGGCTACAATGTAGCTTGCCATCACCAGTGTGTGAATGTGTGTGTGAATGTGTGGATGACTGAATGTAGTGTAAAGCGCTTTGGGGTCCTTAGTGACTAAATAAAGCACTATACAAATACAGGCCATTTACCATTTGATTCTGTTGTTTTTAGTGTGTATTAAATGGAGATTTCATTTTTGTGCAAATGTTAGTTAAAGAGTCTGCTGGTTCTGTCTGTGGGAAACTGAGGGCTCAGAATTGAACGTAAATGTACAAATAAGCTAGTGAGTAATTTTCTAGTGAGTAAGCTGTTTAGTGCAAACATATCAGCTAATTTCTTGTTCAGAGGTTTACACAAAATTTACTCCCATCATGTTTTTGTGGTTATTTGGATATTCTGCACTATGAACACTGCTCTTAAATCCACAGTGCATGCTGTGTGTTGTGTAGATGTATAAAATGTCCATAAATGATACTAAACTATAACCATATACCGTGAAAACTTGTAGAATACAGTTCTACAAGTTATGTCTGTGTTGAGTTTTTCTTCTTCATATACAACAAGCTATATTGTGAATGTATGGATATATTTTCCAATCAAATATATTTTGTTATGCAGGCTAAAGGCAACATTTTACTAACTGTATATCAAATAAATTGATTTCAGTGAGTGCTCATAACAACACAGGAGCACCTGATGGAGGCCCTAAATCATACACTCACACAACGTGAGTTGTATACGGTAGTGGTCAGTGTTATGTTGCTAGTGTGAGAAAACTGAAACACACATATGCACAGAATCAGGAAAATCTGAATTATAGCAGCAACACAGCAAACATCCGTGACAACCCCTTGGATGTTATCTGACACGATACTAAACAGTATCAAAGACAGAGTTTACAGCCATAAAATACCCCCACCCACAATGCTCTTCTCTCTCACTCACTGCAGGATACACATGTCTGCTCAGCACAGGAAGTCATGTCACTGTATGGAGGGTGGGGCAGAAGTTTACGTTTCTGCTTAAACTATTGTTTTTTAAACATTGCATGTATTTAATCCACACTATCATCCACGTTTTACTAGGGGCAAATGTTATAGGAAGCTTTGTAAATATGCCCATGCAGAGTTCAAGTTGCAAAGCAGAGTAACGATTACACTACTGTGCTCAATGTCCCATCACATTGATCTGGTGTGAAGTGATGTCTAATTCCTGACTGAAAAACAAAGTAGATGGGAAAAAGTGCCAGAATCAACACATTACAGTTGATAGTACAGCTACATGTATTACATATTGCTTTCTATATATTTTAGCTGCATATCCTCCCAAGAGCCAGAAATTCATTCTATTCCTCTGTGGGGAGAATATATTTGCTTTTAAGAAGGATAGATAGATGTCCATTATGGGTAGTATGGTGGCACGGTGGTTAGCACTGTTGCCTCACATCAAGAAGGTCCTGAGAAGATCAATTCCACCATCAACATTATAACTTGGTGTTAGCTTGATATTTGTTAATAATTTGAAGACACATATGAGTCTACAGGAAAAAAATAAAAACTTTTCACAAACTTACGTCTGCCTGTTCCTCATCTCCCAGCATGCTTAAATTAATTTACAGGGATCACGAATACCTTTTTAAAGTTCCAGTAGAGTAACAGAATGCAGGTAGAACAGAGTTTTTTTTTTTTACTGTTTAGATATTTGTTGATATTTACTGCTTTTTTTCCCAAAGAGTTTTGCAATAAAGTTCTCAAACTTTTACACAAAAAGCATACAATTTTGTTTCCTGTAAATTGCATCTATTCAAAACCCTGCAAGAATACCACAGACCTCGTGTGTTAACGTTAAATACATGGCGTTCCTCTGCTACAACCTGCCCCATTACTGGGGTGTGTTGTAACACATGCTACAGAGAATTGTAACAATTAGAAAAAAGAAGCAGAAACTGAATCCACACCAGAGAAAGTACACAAGAAGTGGTTTAGTGGAATAAAGGTGTTTGTGTTTATTTCCCTACAACTGACCATAATCCAAATTCACTCTTTTGTGTGGGTGTGCAAATTAGTTTAACAGAAAAAACTTTCACAACACCACAAATACTTAATAAACATTTTTTTTATTATTAGTCCCATGCGAAAAAGATAAGTTTGTGTGATGGGGTGTGGTCTGCAGTGTGGCTGCAGGGCATGGGTGGACCAGTGGGTTCAGGCTGTAGTGTCACTGGAGGTCACTGGATCCTATCATTATGATCATGCATCCCCTATTTTTAGGGTAGCTGCCAGGGCTGGAAGTGGAGACCGGTAGCTGAGCATGGGTCATACTTGCTACAGTCTCATTTAAAGCTTATATATTATCTGTATCAAAAATACAATAGCAGTATGCATGTAACCCTATAGTGCAGCCTTGGTGTGCCCAAGGGTAATTTTACCCAAACTTCCTCTGGCTTTGAGCTGCCAAATGGCTCCATACAGACAAAGGTTTTTATCATCTGAGGTCAGAGTCTTTAGCGTTAGTTTTCATTTCTTTAACAAGTTTCTCTTTCTTTTTCTTCTGATTGCCTTCAGTTTTTCCCAAGACATTCTTTTTGCATTTTTTTCTGTGACTCTGTCAGCCTTTGCAATGATTTGTAGAATTAGCTCAGTGTTATGTGGCAGATCACATGTTCTTTAGTCACTGATTTAACTGACTCTCCCTTCTTTGAGACCTCATCAGATGCTTTTTTTGTTTTAAATATCAGCAGGCACACCTCAATCATTCTTTCTTTTCCACTATCTAGGTATGCTGTTAAAGTACAAGTATATGCAAAATTAATAAACTATTCATACTTTGGGGAAGGGGGTGTTAGAACACTTTTATAACATACGTTAGAACCCACCCCACCCTTGTCAGTCATTGTTTAACTAACTGTATTTGCGTAGTGCATTAAAATAAGCAGGGGAAAAAAGCATCACAGTTTAATATAAGTCATTTTATCTGTAGCTGTTTAATTACTTAACAAAGTTTAGTGCTGGTCAAAAAAAAAATACTTTCGTAATGCAAATTATCATCGGTGTATTTGTATTGTTTAGTTTCACTATATTTGTATGACAGGTCATTTGATAAAAACTGCTTGATAAGTTTGTGCAGCACCAGGACAGTATAAACATGTCACAGTATGCTGTGACCAGATCTTCTTAAGGTGTGTTAGTTCTGTTGAAAAAGGGAAGGAAGCTGAAAGAAGAAGTGTTAAACCCTCTTGGTTTCCTTCACAGCTCTTTGGTATCTGCTGTGCTGCTGCTTCACTCTCTCTCTTTACAGAAAGTTGTAGAAGTTTTCAGACGTGTCACTGCTGGGTGTGAGGATGGGAGCCACTTTGCTCTGTGAGCTGGGCCTATTCTGTGAGTACATCACTGACTCCTATTGTTTGACTCATACTGATCCATAAACATGTTTTAGTAAGAAGAACAGAGCATCAGTCATTTGGACCATTTCAGGTCATGTGATCAGAGGACTCTCATGTTTGTTACCAACATGTTTGTTTGTAGACTGGATTAGATTTTAGTGCACTGACTCAGATCAGAGTGGAGCTGCTTTAGTTTATCTAACAAAGGTTTGTTTCTCCATCAGTGATAATTTGATGCATTTAAAATCATAATTTAAAACCAATCATAGTAGACACTAGTAAAACCCCAAATGTTTTATTTATGCCATACTTGATTATTTGAACCAATGTCTGAAGTTTCTGTCTTTATTGTAGTGCTCTGTACGCTCCTCTGTACTGGACACACTCAAGGTGACTGAACAGTTGTTTTATTTTATTTATGATTTTTTTTTATCTCCACATACGGCATCACTCTTTAGCATTTTATCTTTCTGTAATTCTGTATTTATTTATTTAGAACTGATATTTTAACTAAAAAAAAAAAATTTATGAACACAAACACAGATTGTTTCATGCGTAAAAGTGTTTCAGATTTCTAATGGTGTGATTGTGTTGGATTCTAGCTGCTGTGCTAACTATTGAACCCAACTGGTCCAGTTTTGTTATTCAAGAGTTTGTTACCTTCATATGTGACATGAATGAAGGTGACGACACTGACTGGGAATACAAAATCAACAAGGATGGTCGAGAATTTATCCCCTACAACACACACAAAGACTATACATTAGAAATTAGCTCTAAGGGTGACAGTGGTGAATATCAGTGCTCTGGTCGCAAAAAGAGGTCACATAAAACAAAGAACAGTAATACTGTCTCTATAATTGCAATAGGTAAGTCCTCTGTGAACAATAGCATGAATTGTTCTGTTCAAATTATTTCCTTCCCTTCTTTTTTATAACAGCAGATAAACCCAGGGCCACACTGACAGCAGGAACAACAATCATACCAGTAGGGGGCAGTGTGACACTGACCTGCTCTGTGCAGAGCTCTGATGGATGGAAATATGAGTGGTTCAGACGAACCCAAACAACCTCTGAAAGTAAAATCAGAGATCAACAAAACAGAGATATCAGAGTATCTGAAGGAGGAATCTACAGCTGCAGAGGAAAAAGAGGAAACCCAGTTTACTACACTGATAGAAGTGATGATGTCACTATTGAGAAAACCAGTGAGTTCAGTCATTTAGTTTGAAATATACATTCACTCATGATTATCAAACATACAATGTTAAGTTTTCTGTGTTGATTTCATGTTTCTGTTTGTATCTCAACTGTTAATATGTGTGAACAGTTTCCAATAAAGTTGTTGTAAAACAACGACCCAACTGGCCTCAGATATTCAGAGGTGAGACGATCACTCTGACATGTGAGGTGCAGGAAGGAGGTGAAACCACTGAGTGGGAGTATGAATGGAGAGGACCCAGGACACCCACACAGTGGACACACAATAATGATGTGACATTCAGAGTTTCTGAGTCCAGCAGTGGAGACTACATGTGTAAGAGTCGACGCAGAGATGACTCATATTCTTCAACAGAGTGGAGTGAAGCCTTCACATTGTCAGCATCAAGTAAGTTATGTGTGTATATACAATATTATTATTATTATTATTATTATTATTGTAGTATTTTGAGGCAAATGAATCTAGTGAGTTGAACCACCTAACATCTTCTTCTGGCCCTGGATAAATGGAAGAAGATGGATGGATGGGAGTATTGAAATTTAAATAAGTGAAGTTTTGTCAATAATGAATACTGGAAGGTTTATCCAGAAGAAAAACCACGACTTGTATTTTTGAAAAAGGGTCAAAAGCTGGGCCCAACTCAATCCAACCGTAACATAAGATCTAAAAGCCTAAAAAGAACAAAGTTTTGCACTTTGCAGAGAATTTAAAGACATAAAAATACTTAATTAAATATCATAAAGAAAATCATAAAGAAACCATAAGGTCATAAATTGCTGTTAATGTGTTTTTGTTTCTACTTGATGAAACATCAGGTGCGTCTTCTTCTTCTGTATTAATGCATAATGCTATAATTATTGAATTATGTGGTTACTTACTAGATAATAAAAAAGACAGAAATGATGAAAGAGTGAGTTGACGTAAAGCCATCAGTGTTAAAGCTGCTCAGAACCTTTAACTGTGTGGTCACAGGAAATGGAAGTAATACTGCTAGAGCATCATGCACTGAAGAAAAGGTCAAGGTCTAATTTAAAGGCAGATAATAGCCTTGCATGCCTCAGGTAGCACAGACCAGGGCAGTGTGATCCTGACCTGTAAATTGTGATGTTAAATAATATGTCTTTTTTCTCCTGCCTTTGTTCTACATACAACAGCAGTTAAACCAAAGGCCCAACTGACTACTAACAGCAGAGACGTTCCAGTAGCAGGCAAAGTGACTCTGAACTGCTCAGTGAACCTGTCATCTGAATGGAAATACTTCTGGTACAGAGGTAATAAATCCTCTGAACCCTTGACTACACAAGATGCTGCTCCTTCAGACGGACAAATCAGTGTCTCACAGGAAGGACTCTACAGGTCCAGAGCAGGAAGAGGAAACCCAGTTTACTACACAGACTACAGTGATCCAGTCAACATTGATAAAAACAGTGAGTTTGACTGAAAGTTAATGAGTATACAACCTTCAAAAGATTGTTGTGAGCCTTTCAATTTGACAATATTCAATATGATATTTGTATAATATTTAAAGTTTGAATAGCTCTTGTTTACCACTGGGTCATTGTTACAAATTGACTTTAGCTGCGTAGAAATACCGTAGTTTTTGAAAACATCAACATTATTTAAAGGTTAAAAGGTTCAGTACTACAGAGCCATCTTTAAAGTATAAATATGCAATAATATATATTTTTTCCTCTAACGCTGATTTTTAGTGCATATAATTTTGCTAATTGTTGACAGAAGTTACACCATCACATCGACATATTGTGGTTTAAGTAAGATGTTTTTGGTCAGTGGAGACCTAACAGCACAAAAGCACAGCTCCATCCTGTATTGTATTAACAGTCCAGGATACTGGTGGTTGTGTAATAGTGCGAGAGATATTCTTAGTACACTTTTGTCCCCTTTGTACTAAGTGAGAATTGTCTATATACCACAGAATACTACTGCAGAAAACAATACTAAGTATTGTTTTTGACCATGTCCATCCACCTTTATGACCATAGTGTACCCATCTTCTAATTAATGCTTCCAGCAGGTTAACGTGTCACAAAACTAAAGTCATCACAAACTGGTTTTTCGAACATGACAATGAGTTCTCTGTGTACTCACAGCCACCAGATCTCAATCCAGTGGGGCACCTTATGGATATGGTTGAACAGGAGATTTACATCATGCATGTGAAGATAACAAATCTGCAGCATCTACCCCCCCCACACACACACACACACACACAAAGTAAAGGAGAGAGGAAATGATGATTCCTGCCATGCAGTGACATAATTATAAGAAGATTTCCATAGGTGTCAATATACAGGAAAAGAATGTTGGGCTCTAGCATATGTTTGTAACCTTCAGGTTTATACAGAGATACTGTTATTGGGAATATGTGTTGTTCTTGTGCCATTAAAGAACCCTAAATCATTTTGGAGAATCTTTATACATAAATCTAATTAGAACCTAACATTTATTACAGCAGAGCCTGGGCCTGAAAACTCTTCGTTTCTCACTCCTTTGATTGTTGGACTTGTTTGTGGAATTTTACTGATTCTTCTTCTTCTGCTGTTGTATCGCTTCAAACTGTCAAAGGGTAAGGCCATCTTGCCTTATTATGTGATCTAAGTATTCATGCATCTAGTCTGAAGTAGATGTACTGTCATTGCACCAGAGCAGTTTGAAATTATTTTCTTTTTCGTTTTTTTACAGATTCATGCTTTAAGAGGTTGGTTCAACCCTTCCCACCCCTTTTTCAACCTTCTGGAATTGTTACATTTACAAATTTATGTTATATTTTTATTCCTCCAGGCCTCAGAGCAAAAATCAGCACTCTGCTACAAACCACATGACCAAGCAAGATGAAACTCAACACATTTCTCCTGTTCAAGGTCAGCCTTCACCCTGTATTGTTTTCTTGACAAATTGTAAACTCTGAGCTTAATACATTACGTCCTGATTAGATGTATTAGAAGATGCTCAAATTGCTATATATGACTATTTATTTTGTATTATTTATTTAACCATTGGCTTGATTTTACTCTGTATGTGATTATTTTTTCTACAAATCAAATAAAGACATCAATGACACAGAAAAAGGCACAGTATGTACCATGGAAAATAAAAATGAGTAGGACTTTTAATAATCTTTTTTTTTTTTTTTTGTCCCGTTTGGATCTTTAGCCATCAGAATTGTTGTCTTAAGGCCAAGAAAGATGCCAAGCGGATTTATTTTACCAAGTGGATCATCATGGCCTTGCCATATTGGTCCATTTGATTGACCTTTATTATAATTATGAATTTATTTTATTTTCAGTTGCTACAAACGGGACAGACATGACTGGGGATAGGACAGGGAGAAAGAATGAAAGAAAGAGAGAGAGAGAAAACCAAAGGGGAGAAGAGACGGTGAGAAAGGGGGGGAAGAAAGAAAAAACAAAAACAAACAAAAAAACAAAACACCTGGGTCACC